CTAGACTGTTGGCATAATGTCTACTCCAAATATATGGTAACAGTTAGGAATTGTAACCTGCATATAATGTCAACTGGTCCATAACTTAGACAACGCAACTAGAGAGTTGTGTGTTCCAAACTGTTACATTAACGTTCTGTCCTTCCAACTTCAGAAAAATTAATTGTGAACTAAGAATATCCTCCTCGCCTGCCACACCATATAAACCAGACCAGAGCATTACAACTGAAAGTTAGTTGCCCTGAAGTATTCCGTGTGTACAGCATATATAGTGCAAAGCAATATGGACAGTGTAATGCAATGTCTTTTAAAGAAGAGGAAAGGAAGAGGAAATATTCTACATTGTTGTTCCCTCAAGATCACTAAATAGCTCTTGGTCCGAGAGCTATTTAGTGACATGCCACCATTTCCAAGTGAGGTGTCTTCTCCAAGTGCAGACCATTGGCCAATTCTTCTTGAGGTCCCAAGATGTTTATTGTTTACTGGGTTGTTGTACATTTCACCTGCATCTATGGCAAGCATCCTCAGAGTTTGTGAGGTCACAACCTCTGAGGATGCTTGCCATAGATGCAGTCAAAACGTCAGGAGAGAATGCCTCTAGAACATGGTCATACAGCCCAAAATAACCTACAACAACCCAGTGATTCCGGCCATGAAAGCCTTTGACAATACATTGTTTATTGTTTATCTTGAAGATCACTGTACTGTAGACATGCTTTTGGATGCAAGCCATTGTTCTTTCTGCACACCATCCAGTTGACTTGCGGTGAACCAGAAATCCCCAAGATCCCTGGTCATCGATTGCTCTTGAAGCCATGGCATTCTTGATTGAATCAATCCATCCATAGTGTGGTTTTCCTAGTACCTTTCATTTTTTGAAGTGTCATCATCTTTTCCAATTAATCATTTCACATATGTCTCATTAACCATTTAAATCCTAGATCTTAATCCCACCTGAAATCCACAAACTTTTCCAAAGTCTGAACCAACTAATGAACATCCATCCATACATACATACATACACATCTCTCCCCTCTTTCCCATCCCAGATTAATCCATACAATCTAGTATGTTTACATGTTCTCACACCATGGATTCAGTTGTTTAAAGGTCAGTGTTTGTTAACAGCCAGATCTAACACTTAAGTCCCACTGATGTGAATGGAACGAACTAAATAAATTCAGTAATGCAATCACCATGGGATTGGCTTTCAAAAATTTGGTGTCATAGTGTCAAGCCAGCTTTTCATAGCATGGGTTTGTGTGTTGTTGTTTTTTTATCAGAAGCAGCACATAATGTGCCTTTCTTGGGAGGCTTCCTCATACCCAGCTTTGATGAGCTCACATGTTCTTCCAAGACAGAAGACTGACAGTGTTGCTTACTTCTTAGCTTGATTTAAATGTGGAGGAGTTACACACTGGTTAAACACAGTGTCTAATCTACAGTAGGAATGGCAGTCACAGACGTAAAAAGGATCTAAAATGTTTCCAATTATTACTGTTAATGTTTATCTGAAGATTTCCCCTCCGAATACCCTGCTATGAATCCTCATGCTGTCAAACCGTCCTGGCTCCTAGCTAGCAGACAAATGTCTCTAAGGAGCCCTTTAACACTCCACATGCTGGCTGGAGCTTTCTGCAGCAATACATTTTAGATTAATGGAACTATGGCAGTGTTAATAATTCATTTTTATGGCTAAGGAGCCTGCACTTTGTTTGCCTCCTAAAACAAAGTGAGCAAACATATAACAACTTTAAAGTACCTAAAAGACTGGGCAAGGAATGGTCTTAGAAGAAACCTGGAATGAGGGGAAATTGCTCATTTAATGTCAAGAGTAGAGCAAATTGAAGAAGGCACTTAATTTACATAGATGCAGCACCAGGTTGGCTCTGGCATACATACCCAGAATCTATGATTTTCCACTCCAGTGGAACCCATGGGACTGGGAGGAGTGGTCAGTCACCCTTCCCTACTACAGTGCTATTATGTGCCTCCCAAAAACTATCTCTGGGAAACTTCCTGGAACAGATTTTTCTGTGGGACAAAAGTCCACAAGGGAAGAAAAAAAAAATAAGATTCCAGCACAGGATTGGATTTGGCCCACTGTCACTGGTGGGAGAAAACATCATAAAGTACATCTCTATTCAAGTGTAGTGTTAATCGGCAGAATGTTCAAATAAGTGTTTCTTCTTTATATTAATAGTAGTAGTATTAATAATATATTATAATATCTTAGGCTTCTTCTTTGGAGGCTTTTAAACAGAAGCTGGATGGCCATCTGTTGGGGGTGCTTTGAATGCAATTTTTCTGCTCCTTGGCAGGGGGTTGGACTGGATGGCCCACAAGGTCTCTTCCAACTTTATGATTCTATGAAATATTAAATTTGTGTTTGGGCTGTAGTGCTTTGCATTACTGATTTGCTTCAGTCCCATAAACATTCATGTTGCTGAGAAATCAGGCTGCAAGCCTAAAGAAAAACATTATGGAGATTGCACAATACCCAGTAGAATATAATTCTGCATGTATCCAACAGACTTCCATATATGAGTGCTGATTCCTTGAGACATTTCCAGAAAAAATAAACTCCACTGCCTTCATTGAGCCTTACTTTCTAATATGAGTTTATGATTAGTTCTAGAAGTCAATCTAGAAAAGGTATCTCTAGGATGTGATGTGCAAACATTCCTGGAGTCAATAGCACAAGCACTACACAGTTCAGAAGGAAATGTCATGGTCAAGATTAGTTGTGAATTTAGGTTCTTTTAAGACTCTATATTTAATGGCCTGGGGGATGTTCTATTCCCTTTATATGTGTGATATATTAACTTACTTTCAGATGTTGTTTTGACGAATGTAGGGGGTTTGTGCTCTTTCTGGTGAGAATAGCCCTGGTCTTTTTCCCTGAATTCCTGCTCCATGGCACCATTGATCCTGTTTAAAGGGAAAAGTTTCCCCTTGACATTAAGTCTAGTCATGTCCGACTCGGGGGGGGGGGGGGGGGGGGGGGGGGGGGGCTCATCTCCATTTCTAAGCCAAAGAGCCAATGCTGCCTGTAGATGCCTCCAAAGTCATGTGGCCAGCATGACTGGATAGAGCACCTACCTATTGATCTACATTTGCCTGTTTTCGAACTGCTAGGTTGGAGAGAGCTGAGGCTGACAGTGGGAGCTTACCCCGCTCCCCAGATTCAACCCACCAACATTTCAGACAGTAAGTTCAGCATCTCAGCGGTTTAACCCGCTGCACCACCAGGAGGGGGTGGGGTGCTCCTGGTCCTGTTTATTCAGAAAACAATTCCTTTGAATTAAGTTGCTGGGGATCAGGGGATTGTATTGGGAAAGGGGGTGTTTCTTTTATCTCCCTCCATATCTGGGTCTGAAACTGAACTCCATTATTTGGTTGTTGTCTCTTTGACCAAATACTAATAAAGTGCATGTTAGGAAAGAGACAGGAAGAAAACTTATTTTGAAAGAGGTCAGACTGTAGACTTTGAGAAAGGGGCCACGATGGTGCAATGAGTTAAACCACTCAGCTGCTGAACTTGCTGACCTGAAGGTTGAAAGTTCAAATCTGTGGATCGGGAATGAGCTCCCGCTGTTAACCCCAGCTCCTGCCAACCTAATAGTTCAAAAACATGCAAATGTGAGTTGATCAATAGGTACCACCTTGGCAGGAAGGCAAACAGGCACTCCATACAGTCATGCCAGCCACACGATCAGGAAGTGTCTACAGACAATGCAGGCTCCTTGGCTTGGAAATGGAGATGAAGAAATGGAGATGAGCAGTGTCTCCAGAGCTGGAGATGAAAAGGGAAAGCTTTTGCCTTTGTCTGTGTATTTCTGTTTCATTGTATCAAGGCATTGAATGTTTGCCTGTGTGTGTAAAATTCCTGTAATCTGGTCCCCTCCAGGAGATAGAGCGGAATACAAATAAAGCATTGTTGTTGTTATTGTTGTTATTATTTGATGCATAACAAGATTAGTATGCAGCAAACAAGATCACTGTGCTGGCTTTTGTATTTGATCACATGTCGGACATTTCCCAAAATTGCGGCCTTGCATGTTACTATTATTTGTACCCAAAGCTATAATGATCCACCTTACATTGCTCTTTGTCTTACTTCTGCCACATGATTTATGCACTTTATCCACCAGCCCTATCCCCTAAATCATGTTTGCACCAGTTCACCTACCCATGAGAGAAATTAAATTTACGGTTATTGTTGGTTTGATACCTGTTTTTATAATGTTGTTGTGTATTTTAGCATGCTATATTTTAACTGTGTTGTTCAGGCTTGACAACATGTAAGTAACCCTGAGTCCCTTCGGGGAGATGGAGGCGGGGTACAAAAATAAAGTTATTATTATTATAAAATGTCTAGGACTGTATGATGTATCAATGAATAATGTGTGCAGATCCTTTTGCAGTTGACCGGTGGTAATTTTGTCAGTGCTGATTGTTTTTAAGTGCAGGCCAAGGTCTTTAGACACTGCACCCAGTATGGTGATCATCACTGGTACCACATTTTACTGGCTTGTGCAGTTATTATTCTTATTGTTGTTGTTGTTATTATTATTATTATTATTATTATTATTATTATTATTATTAAGGTAAAGGTAAAGGTAAAGGTTTTCCCCTGACATTAAGTCCAGTCATGTCCGACTCTGGGGGTTGGTGCTCATCTCAATTTCTAGCATTGGAGAGCCAACATTGATGAGCCGGCATTGTCCATAGACACCTCCAAGGCCATGTGGCTAGCATGACTGCATGGAGCACCGTTAGTTACCTTTCCACCTGAGTGGTACCTATTGATCTACTCACATTTGAATGTTTTCAAACTGCTAGGTTGGCAGAAGCTGGAGCTAACAGCGGGAGCTCACCCTGCTCCCCAGATTTGAACCTGCAACCTTTCGGTCAGCAAGTTCAGCATCAATTTGACATATATATGTTTTTGGAACTCCTCTTACACTGCCTCCCCCAAACATTAGGACAAAATGGCGTTGTTTACAAAAATTTATTAATACAAACTTTACACACTTTGCAGTAACAGTTTTCAAGGTCCTAACGAGTGAGACCATGGGTGCTGTCACCAGCCATACGTTTTTTGTTGCAGCTAGTTGTTGTAGTGCTTGTTTTTTGTTTTGTTTTGTTTTGATACTCAAGTTGCGACACAGAAAGAAGGAAAATATATAGATATAGATATATAGATAGATTATATAGTTAAGATATAAATATCTCCAAAAGACGGACATCTAACCTCAGTGATCACTGGATTTCCAATGGGATCCGTTGGATTTAAGGCTTTTGGCGGACAGCTAATCCTACAGAGGCGGCCACGGCTGGCTCGTGGGGCGCAAAACAGAGGCTGCAAACTGACTAGCCCACACTGGACTTGGCAAGGCAGAAGCTTAGCTCAGCGTTACTGGCACGTCGAAGAAAGGAAGGGAGGAAGTAAAGGAGGAAGGAAGGAAGGGAAGGCAAGGAGCCCCGCACCAACACAAGGGACACGCAACAAACACACGCAGCCACAGCTCCCGCCCACCGTCTCTTCCTCGTCCAAGGAACGACTCGAGAGGCTTTTTAGGGTGGGTTTTTTTTGTTGTTTACCCCCGAGGAATTTGCAAAGAGACTCAATCAGAAAGAGGAAGGAAAAACAAAAACGAAGGAACCGAACCAAACGGAAAGGAAGAAATGCAAGCTGATGTGTTGCAGCATTGTAGGGCCACTAAATAGCCATCTGTGAACTCGTGGCGATTTAAAAGGCGAAGGGAAGGCACGGAAAAGCTGCCAACGGCATCCTGCGTCACATGGCCTGAAGAGAATGCAAAATTTCAAGTAAGATGGATCTCAGGAAAAGGAAAAACACCGCGCGGGGCGCAGCTTCGAGGGAAAAACCCCGCGACTGCTGGGCAAGGGAAGGAAGGAAGGAAGGAAGGAAGGAAGGAAGGAAGGAAGGAAGGAATGAAGGAAGGAAGGAAGGAAGGAAGGAAGGAAGGAAGGAAGGAAGGAAAGGAAGGAATGAAAGGAAGGAAGGAAGGAAGGAAAGGAAGGAAGGAAGCAAGAGATGGGAAGGAAGGAAGGAAGACGGATGGGGAGGGAGGAAGGAAAAGAAAAAGAGGGGAAAAGGAGATAATTGTCTGTTACTAGGTGAAGGATTGGCTGAGGAAGGAAGGAAGGAAGGAAGGAAGGAAGGAAGGAAGGAAGGAAGGAAGGAAGGAAGGAAGGAAGGAAGGAAGGAAGGCCCACGTCATAGGGATATGGGATATGGGGGACGGGGACGGCTGGGCAACGAAGGAAGGGAGGGAGAAAGGTAGGAAGGGGCAGGAGGCCCATGTCATAGGGATATTGGGGGGGGGGAGAGACGGGGGGGCAGGGAAGGAAGGAAGGGGCAGGAGGCCCATGTCATAGGGATATGGGGGGGGGGGAGAGACGGCTGGGCAGGGAAGGAAGGAAGGGGCAGGAGGCCCACGTCATAGGGATATGGGGGGGCTGGGATATATTGGGGCGCAGCGAAGGAAAGGGGGGGGGGCGAGGAGGGGCTTAGCAAGGATGAGGGGCTCGTCTCTCTGGGAGAATGAATGCAGTTGGACCCCCATATTAATTGCCATGGCTCAATGCTGTGGAATCATGGGGATTCCATAGTTCAGTGGGTTCTCAACCAGTGGGTCCCAGATGTTTTGGCCTTCAACTCCCAGAAATCCTAACAGCTGGAATTTCATATAATCATAGAGTTGGAAGAGACTTCATGGGCCATCCAGTCCAACCCCCTGCCAAGAAACAAGAAAATTGCATTCAAAGCACCCCCGACAGATGGCCATCCAGCCTCTGTTTAAAAGCTTCCAAAGAGGGGATCTCTACCACACTCCGGGGCAGAGTTCCACTGCTGAACACTACAGCTCTCACAGTCAGGAAGTTTTTCCTCCTGTTCAGGTGGAATCTCCTTTCCTGTAGTTTGAAGCCATTGCATTCAAATCACCCCTGACAGATGGCCATCCAGCCTCTGTTTAAAAGCTTCTAAAGAAGGAGCCTCCACCACACTCCGGGGCAGTGAGTTCCACTGCTGAACGGCTCTCACAGTCAGGAAGTTCTTCCTCGTGTTCCGATGGAATCTCCTCTCTTGTAGTTTGAAGCCATTGTTCCGCGTCCTAGTCTCCAGGACAGCAGAAAACAAGCTTGCTCCCTCCTCCCTGTGACTTCCTCTCACATATTTATACATGGCTATCATGTCTCCTCTCAGCCTTCTCTTCTTCAGGCTAAACATGCCCAGCTCCTTAAGCCGCTCCTCATAGGGCTTGTTCTCCAGACCCTTGATCATTTTAGTCGCCCTCTGGACACATTCCAGCTTGGGAGTTGTAGGCCAAAACACCAGGCGACTCGCAGGCTGAGAACCACTGCCATAGTTTCACAAGGTCTTGAGCCTTCTCTGATGCCTCACTAAACAAGTCCCAGGAATCCGTAGCATTCAGCCGTGGCAGTGTCAAACTGCATCCATTGTATTGAATAGATCAGGCCTGGGCAAACTTGGGCCCTCGCTCCAGGTGTTTTGGACTTCAAGTCCCACCATTCCTAACAGCCTCAGGCTGTTTTCCCCCCTCAGTCTCTTAAGCATGGCAGATGAAGTTCAAAACACCTGGAGAGAGGGCCCAAGTTTGCCCATACCTGGTATAGATGCACCCTTTGGGAATTTGGTGGGTCATCCAACCAAACGTGGGCCTGGGCTTTAAGAAGTCAAGGAGACCCCACCATCTCCAACTACCTTTAGGATCGGGGTGCCAATGGCTCAAGACAGCGCTCCCCAAAGAAGGCCAAAGGCCATAGAGCAGCGGTCCACATACTCTAGTCCCAGAAGCCTCAAATGCCCTGGAGCAATGGACGAGGATTGAGACTGAAGTCCAAAGCGTCTGGAAGGGCCAGAGTTTGGGAATCAGTGCCGCAAAGGGATTGAAAACCCAGAGGCCGGACCCACGTTGTTCGGAACCGGCAGTCAAGGGTTGAATTCACACGAGTGCAGTTTGATACTACTTTAACTGCCATGGCTCAAGGCTATGGAAGTTGTCCTTTGGTGAGACTTCACGACTTCGGGCAACTTGAGTCATGGGCAGTTGAAGTGGGCTCAAAATGGATTCCCTCTACAGGCCACATGCTAACACTCCCTCCTAGGAGGACTGGTTGCCCGGCGATGGAAAGAAGGAAGGGAAGGAGGGAGGGAGGAAAGAGAGGGTTGGAAGGGGGGAGGGAAGGAAGGAGAAAGAGGGTTGGAAATGGGAGAAGGGAGAAGGAATGGGAGAAGGAAAGACAAAAGGGAAGGAAGGGAAGGATGGAAGGGAAGGATGGAAGGAAGGAAGGGGAGGTGGAAGGAAAAAGAGAAGAGAGGAAGAGATGGATGGATGGATGGATGGATGGAAGGAAGGAAGGAAGGAAGGAAGGAAGGAAGGAAGAAGAAGGAAGGAAGGAAGGGAAGGAAGGGTAGGAAAAAGGGAAGGAAGAAAGGCAAAAGGGAAGGAAGGAGAAAGAGGAGAGAGGGAGGAAAGAGAGGAAGGAAGGACAAAAGGTGGAAAGAAAGATGGAAGGAGGAAAGAGGGAGGGAGAGAGGAAGGAGGAGGGAAAGACAAAAGGGAAGGAAGGAAGGAGAAAAAGGAGGGAGGAAGGAAAGAAGGAAAGGGTGGAAGGGAAGGAAGAAGGGAAGGAGGAAGGAAAGACAAAAGGATGGGAAGGAGAAAGAGGGAGAGGGAAGGAAGGAAAGACGAAAGGAAGGAAGGGAAGGAGAAAGGAAACAAGAGAGAGAGAGAGAGAGAGAGAAAGCGAGAAGGAAGAAGGAAGGAAGGAAGGAAGGAAGGAAGGAAGGAAGGAAGGAAGGAAGGAGGAAGGAAGGGAAGGAAGGATGGAGGGAAGGAAAGAGAGGAAGGATAGGATGGTGGTGTGAGAGAGGATGGCCTGAGGAAAGAGCCCAAGGGTCCGTATCTGGCCTCCGTGTCAGGGTTTGCCCATACCTATTCTACAGTATAGATTAATTCACCCAAGACCGGCAGAAAACTCTACAGACTTTAGGAAGGGGGGGGGGGTGTCAGGAGGGGAGGTCACAGTTTCTTCATTACTGAATAAGATATTTGGGAATTACCCAACCACCCGAAAAAGCCATGTATCTTCGCTCTCACCACCCTATCGATTTATATTTTAAAGTATGTTTTAAAAATATACATTCAAGAGACTTTCTTAGTATTTAATTTGATTATTCTACCGCATAAACTACAGGCAAAGGTGACCCACACTGGCGAAACAGTGACATTTTTAGTACACCTCCTTTGGCATGGGCACGTTGTCCTAAAGCTATTTAAAGTGTTTATCGTAGTCCTCACTCTTTGTCTATCTATCTATCTATCTATCTGTCTATCTAGAACCCTGGTGAGCTCGAGAATCATCTCGTCAGGCACAGAGGCGAGCCCAAATCTAAACGTGTTTAGAACCCAGGCTCTTGTGTCCATCCAAAGGGAAAAGAAGAAGTTTTTTAGGTAGTCACGGGCAAACTTCGACCCTCCAGATGTTCTGGACTTCAACTCCCACAATTCCTAACAGCCAACCGGCTGCTAGGAACTGTGGGAGTTGAAGTCCACAACACCTGGAGGGCCCAAGTTTGCCCGTGCCTGCTTTAAGGCTTAAGGTTAGCATTCTTTCAACCCTTCGAGGAAATAAGGGCTTTAAAAGAGACATGTCCTACATTCCGTCCCTGGGGATGGAAGTGGGCTTCGTGGAAAGAATATTTCCACCCATATTGGAGTCGGGTCCCAACCTCACCCGATTTAATCAGAAGCATTTGACACCCGGATCCTAAGCCACCCACTTCGAAATCAGGTGAGAGAGGGGAAAATGTTACAAACGGAGTCTTTTCCCCATTGAAATGAGCAGCACGTGTTGAAAACCGTAAAAGGCGTGGATTGTAATAGAGATAAGAGAGCTTGGGTTGGTTGGGATGGTTTGCTTACCCTCTCCTGGATTCTCTTGAGCAGCTTCTATTCATTCATCCCTGTGTTGGGCGTTCTGCGCATGCACAACACATAGTGGTGAATGAAGGAAGGCCAAGAAAATGGGGAGGGAATTGGTTTCCCAAGAGTGCATCCACACTGCAGAATGAATGCAGTTATGTTAGGGAATCCTGGGAGTTGTGACTGAGTGAGGCAGAGAAGGGTAAAGATCTTGTCAATTATAGTTTCCTAATTCTATAGCAGGTCTGGGCAAAGTTGGACCCCCCCCCCCTCCTGATGTTTTGGACTTCAACTCCCAACATTCCTAAGCTTCAGACCCTTTCCTTTCCCCTTAAGCAGCTGAGGGTGAAAAGGAAGGGACTTGAGGCTGCTAGGAATTGTGGGAGTTGTAGTCCAAAACATCTGGAGGACCCAAGTTTGCCCAGACCTGTGCCATGGAAGTTAAAGTGAGGCCAAGCCGCATCAAATTGAGACTTTTAAGCAGAGGCTGGATGGCCATCTGTCGGAGGTGCTTTGATGCGATTTTCCTGCTTCTTGGCAGGGAGTTAGACTGGATGTCCCATGAGGTCTCTTCCAACTCTATGGTTCTATAACAGTGCAGATGCACCCCAAAATAGTTTGGAATTGTAAACCCCTTGAAGCCCATCAACTCAGAAGTGAAGATCTGGATTCCTGCCTGGGACAAAAAGTGCCTTCAATTTCCCCCTGATTCAACCAATCTCCTTCCCATCCTATCTTTCAACCCTCCCCTCCCAACCCCTTTCTTTCCCCAATCCCCATTTCTCCTACAAACAGACAGACAGGTAGATTCATTGACTGACCAGGTCTTTGAAACTGAAGCGCAAGTGGACACTACACATTCTATAGCATGACAAAAGTTGATTGTATGAAATCAATTTTACTAAGCGGTTATAAGCCATGGATGTAGAAAAATACATTTTTTAAAACCTCCAAACGCAATAAGATCGACAAGAAACCCAAAAGGAGGAGGTGGAAAATAATAAAAGGAAAAGAAAGAAAGGAGAACCTGTTTAGTAATACTGCATAATTATTTAGTGGTTAGATATATATAGAGAGAGAGAGAGAGTTGCTACAACAGGGTGGGGTGGCCTAAAACGGGCTTACAATTCGAGCATGTAACAAAAAAAAAAAAAAACCCAAAAGTGCCTTGAGGCGTTCACAATAATAGAAGTTGTTGCTGGCTGTTGCTTTCGAAAAGGGAACTCAAAGAACCCGGATGGAAAACACAACATTGAAAAGAGAGCAAGAGAGAGAGCCAAGAGGGAGGAGGAAGCGAGAACAACAAGAGAGGAGAGAGAGAGAAAGGGGCTCCCCCTAAACTGGGGTGGTGGGCGATTCTCAAGAGAGATCCCATGGATTGGACAGCACTGGAGAGGGACACCTGATCCTTTGCTTGCACCCAGATCCCACCTCTTAGAGGCCGCATCTACCCGTCCAGAGGAATGGTGAAGAGCCAAGGAGGAAAGCATCTGCACTGGCCACTTAAAGCAGTTTGAATGGATGCAGCAACACATGTGAAGGGCTTCCAACCGGGATAAGCACCCACCAAATTCCCAAAGGGTGCATCTATACCAGGTATGGGCAAACTTGAGCCCTCTAGCTGTTTTGGACTTCAACTCGGGCCCTCCAGATGTTTTGGACTTCAACTCTCACCATTCCTAACAGCCTCAGGACCCTTCCTTTTCCCCCTCGGCCGCTTAAGCGGCTGAGGGGGAAAAGGAAGGGTCCTGAGGCTGTTAGGAATGGTGGGAGTTGAAGTCCAAAACACCTGGAAGGCCCAAGTTTGCCCATACCTGATCTAGACTGGCATATAATGGCGTGGCAGTGTAGATCCAAACCTCTTTTCTCCAATTGCACGGATAGATGCAGCCAAGGTTTTTAGGGGAGGGGGGAGTTCATAAAACCTCTACTATATTGGGCAAAACCAAAGGATGAGGAGGGAGGGAGGAGGTAAAGGTTGAGGTATTTTCTTCTTTGTTTACTTCCTGATACCCAGCTCCCTAGTGGAGCTCCTTTCAGAGTTCTGTGCTTACTTTTCTTGGAGCTCAAGAATGAGAATGAATGCATTGTCGAAGGCTTGCTGTGAGTTTTCCCATGCTGTATGGCCAGATTCCAGAAGCATTCTCTCCTGACGTTTCGCCCACCTCTGTGGCAGGCATCCTCAGAGGTTGTGAGGTCTATTGGAAACTTAGCAAGGGAGATTTATATATCTGTGGAAGGTCCAGGGTGGGAGAAAGAACTCTTGTCTGTTGGAGGCAAGTGTGAATGCTGCAATTAATCACCTTGGTGAGCATTGCAAAGGCTTGCAGCTTCCAGGCCTAGAATCATAGAATTTGAGGCATCCTCAGAGGTTGTGAGGTCTATTAGAAACTAAGCAAGGGAGGTTCATATATCTGTGGAAGGTCCAGGGTGGGAAAAAGAACTCTTGTCTGTTGGAAGCAGGTGTGAATGCTGAAATTAATCACCTTGGTGAGCATTGCAACTTCCAAGCACAGAATTATAGAGTTGGATGAGACCTCATAGGCCACCCAGTCCAACCCCCTGCAAAGAAGCAGGAAAATTGCATTCAAAACACCCCCTGGCTGATTCCTGCCTGGGGGAATCCTGGGATTTATATATCCTCAGAGGTCGTGAGGTCTGTTGGAAACTGGGCAAGTGGGGTTTGTATATCTGTGGATTACAGGGTGATTAGCATTGAAAAGCCTTGCAGACTAACTCAGTCTGATAAATCAGCCATAGCAGAACACTTGATGGACCAACCTGGACACACCATATTAGTTGAGCCAGCTTGATTAGCATATACTGGCATTGCAGCTTCAAAGCCTGGCTGCTTCCTGCGGGGGGGGGGGTCCTTTGTTGGGAGTTGTTAACTGGCCCTGATAGTTTCTTGTCTGGAATTCATATTATTTCAGAAATGCTGYACTACTCTAAAAACTACCAGGTCAAACTACACAGATAAGCCAATGAAATCCACAAGCATGTGGACAATTTCAACAGAAAGGAAGGAACCATGAAAATGAACAAAATCTGGCTACTAGTATTAAGAAAATTCTATAATCAGGATAGTAAATAAAGAACAGCACTCTGAAAACAGGGGAATTCAATACAGGAAACAATCAGGGCCAACTAACACCTCCCACCAAAAAGATTCCCCCAGGCAGGAATCAGCCAGGCCTTGAAGCTGCAAAGCTTTTCAGTGCTAATCAAGGTGATCAATTGCAGCATCCACACTTGCCTCCAACAGATTTTTTAAAAGAAGTACCAAACTGGTCTTTGAAACCTCCCAACAAAGGATTCCCCCAGGCAGGAAGCAGCCAGGCTTTAAAGCTGCAAGGCTTTTCAATACTAATCAAGGTGATTAATTGCAGCATTCACACTTGCCTCCAACAGACAAGAGTTCTTTCTCCCACTCTGGACCATGCACAGATATATAAACCTCCCGTGCTTAGTTTCCAATATGCCTCACAACCTCTGAGGATACCTGTCATAGATGTGGGTGAAACTTCTGGAGAAAATGCTTCTGGAACATGGCCATACAGTCCAGAAAACGCACAGCAATGAATGCAGTTTTGACCTCACTTTAACTGCCATGGTTCATTGGTCTGGAATCATGGGGACTATAGTTTGGTAAGGCACCAAACAGAGAAGGGGGCAGGCCTTGTGAAAAGACAAATCCCAAGAGTCCATGGGCAGCGGAAGTGGTATCAAACTGCATTGATTCTACAGTTTGAGAGACCGTGTCCTCTCTGCTCACCATCACTCTGGGGAGTGGGGAAGACACTGCATCTATTTGGCCTCATTGCTGAGAAGGAAGGGGGTTCTTTTGGGAGGGGAAGACCATGAAGGGAAGACGGGAGCCTTGGGAGTTTGAGAAGGCTCCCTCGTTGTGGTGGTCCCCAGAGTAGATACAGATCCATAGAAAGGGGCAATCAAAGATTGGGGAAGGGGAATGCCATCTCTAGCAAAAGGAGGCGGGGGGAGGGGAAAGGGGGCGGGGCTGGGAAAGGGGGCGGGGCGTGTCAAAGTTGCCTGGCGGGAGACTCACCGGGGCAAGGACCTGCGACAGCCATTCTCCCAACTCAATAGCCTCAAAATCCCCTTGTAGCAGGGCATCTTTGTCTATGTACAGTAGCAAATGGAGAATAGTAATCTCTTCAACCCTGTCATGGATAAAAATACTCTCCTTTTAATTTCCATTACAAAAATAGGCGCACATATTCAAAGCAATGATTGTCACATTCTTCTTTTTTTGTCTTTTCTCCTCCCTTGATCTATTATCATTGTGATTTTTTTTAATACAAAAAAGTCAAAACAAGGTTCAGGCGAAGCGACCTGGGTCTCTTGTGCCATCCTAACCTCTTCGAAACTGGACTGGGCCTCTCTATCCGCTCTTCTTCATTCCCTGAAGGCTCATCTGCATATTTCCTCCTTTATTTCTTTATCTATCTACCTGGGGTTGTTTTGTTTTTAAAGGGGATTGGTCCACAAAATAGATCTGTGCGTTTCTCTAGTGCTTATTCTTAAATATTAGGGGCCGGGGGGGGGGGGGCAGGGGTACTTTGGTACAAAAGAAAAACAATATTATTATCAAAATATTCATTTAATGGCTTTACTTCATACATAAATACATGTTTAGATAACACAGGAGCGGTGATTGACCAGTCAGTTTGAGAAATGACTTTTTAGGGAGGGTGGGAGGGGGGTCCTCTCTCGGAATTTTGTTTTTGTTTTGTTTTTGTTGTTTTGTTTTGTTTTGTTTTTTTCCCCGGGGCTTTTGTATCACACAGGAGCGGTTGGGAAACTCATCGCTACAAATAGGCTACTCGGCGTCCTTTGTTTTTAACTCTTTGTTTATACCTTTTCCCCAGGACTGCCGCCAAGTATTTCTTGACAGCCATTTGTTTTCGATAGCGGCTGTAGCTGTCTGTGAAGATGCCGTCCGAATGCCTCTTGGAGAGCGGCTCCGAGTCGTCCTCCAGGCCGCTGGCTGACCCACTGCGGAGGGAGAGCAAGCAAAGCAAAAGAAGCCTCATCAGGTAACATCGTCTCCAATTGCATTGTATAGCAAAGGTAAAGGTTTTCCCCTAACATGAAGTCCAGTCGTGTCCGACTCTGGGGGTTGGTGCTCAGCTCCATTTCTAAGCCAAAGTGGCCGGTTACCTTCCCACCTGAGCTGTACCTATTGATCTATTCACATTTTCATGTTTTCGAACTCCTAGGTTGGCAGAAACTGGGACTAATAGCGGAAGCTTATCCCGCTCTCCGGATTCGAACCAGCGACCTTTCGGTCAGCAAGTTCAGCAGCTCAGCGGTTTAACTCACTGCGCCACCTGGGTGTAGTGTAATGTAATGTAATGGCGCTCCATGCATTCATGCTGGCCACGTGACCTTGGAGGAGTCTATGGACAACGCCAGCTCTTCAATTTAGAAATGGAGATGAGCACCATCCTTCAGAGTCCTACACGACTACATTTAATGTCAAGTGGAAACCTTCAACTTTTAGTCTACTATAGTATAATAATATGATATAATAGTGCTCCATGGAGTCATGCTGGCCATATGACCTAGGAGATGTCTATGGACAACGCCAGCTCTTCAATTTAGAAATGGAGATGAGCACCATCCTTCAGAGTCCTATACGACTAGACTTAATGTCAAGTGGAAACCTTCACCTTTTAGTCTACTATAGTATAATAATATGATATAATGGTGCTCCATGCAGTCATGCTGGCCACATGACCTAGGAGGTGTCTACAGGACACTCTTCCGCTTAGAAATGGAGATGAGCACCAACCCTCAGAGACGGACACGACTAGACTTAATGTCAAGGGGGAACCTTTACCTTTTAGCATAGTATAGTGTAGTATGGTATAATTGCAGTCATGCTGGCCAATGACCTTGGAAGCGTCTATGGACAACACCGTCTCTTTGGCTTAGAAATGGAGATGAGCACCACCCCCAACACCCAACACGCCCCCCCCCCCAGAATCCGACACGACTAGACTTAATGTCAAGGGGAAACCTTTACCTTTTAGTATAGTATAGTATAGTATAGTATAATATAATAATAGCGCTGCATACAGTCATGCTGGCCACATGACTTTCTGACAATGCCGGCTGTTCGGTTTAGAAATGGAGATGAGTCGGACACGATTAGACTTAATGTCAAGGGGAAACCTTTACCTTTTAGTATAGTATAACATAACATAACAAACATAATGTAGTATAATGGTGTTCCATGCAGTCATGCTGGTCACATGACCTTGGAGGTGGATATGGACAACTCCGGCTCTTCCCCTTAGAAATAGAGATGAGAACCACCCCTCAGAGCCCCACACGACTAGACTTAATTTCAAGGGGAAATATTTACATTTTAGTATAGTATAGTGATATGATATATGATATAATATAATGGTGCTCCTTACAGTCATGCTGGCCACATGACCTAGAAAATATCTAGGGACACCGCCAGCTCTTTCGCTTAGAAAGGAAGATGACCACAAGCCCCCAGAGACGAACACGACTAGACTTAATGTCAGGGGAAATCTTTACCAATATAATATAATATAATATAATATAATATAATATAATATAATATTAATATAATATTAATATAATATTAATATAATAAAAATATAATAAAAATATAATAAAAATATGATATGATATGATATGATATGATATGATATGATATAATATAATATAATATAATATAATATAATATAATATAATATAATATAATATAATATAATATAATATAATATAATATAATATAATATAATATAATATAATATAATGGGTTGCAAAAATAATAACAACCCTCGGAAGATTCGGATCAGAACCCTACCTTCCGCTTTCGGAAGGAGGAGGTGAATAACAGGAGTAGTAGTAGTAATAATAATAATCATCATCATCATCATCATCCCTGCATCATCCCAAACATTCAGTTTGTCCTTTAGCTGGCTGCGTCCCAAGAGAGGCAGAGCCAATGCTGGCCCCTCTCTCCCCTCCGCGTTCTATGATGACGTCATCATTCGAACTCCAAGCATTGTTTATAAACAAGGCACAGAATCAGTCAATCAACAAAGGAAACCTCCCTCCTCCCAGGAACGCTTCCTTCAACTGGTTTCAAGTCCATTTTGTTCTGGATGATTTGGGGAAAGGCATTTCCCCCACTCTTTAGTACCCAATTTGAGTATTATTATAATTATTATTATTGAGGCTGGATCAGCCCACCTTCAAAAACAATGGCCCACTGATTATGATCTAACCCGACCATCTTCATTGTTCTCTGCCACCCTCTTGTTATTTTTGGCCCGGGTGAGATCTTATTATTATTATTATTTGGAGATTTGTTTCAGCAACACGTAGATGAAGGCCAAAAAAAAAGGGACAGTGGAGACATGAAAAGGCCGGGCCCCTCCCTTGAAGAGAAACAAAGGCTCTCTTTCTTGCTGCGGAAGTTGAAGCCTGATCATAAGGCAAGCCGACAGTCGGGAGACGATCCCTTCTTGGCATGAATTATTCATTCTGAAATTGTGTAATCCATTTCCCCGTGGGCTTTATTAAAATATTGCCTCCTGCGCGCGCACAAGCAGCCGGTTCAGAGGTCTGATCCTTGGAAGCAGGTCTGGCTTTGGATTGGATTTAATTTAATTGCAATGAATTTATTTTTTGCAGAAATGCTGATGAATGTGTATTTGGGTGAAGGAAAATATTGCTTCGCCTCTCAGAGAGGCACTAAGTGTATTGAACCGGTAGAGGAGTGAACTGTGAACCGACAAGGTCTTTATCAGCTGAGCTGTCACTGACTCCTTTCATATCATCAGATTGAATGGGAAGCGGAGGAGGGAGGGAGGCAGGGGAGGTCCCGTGAATCAAAATTCCACTCCAGATCATAACAGGAGAGTGGACAGTTCTCACAACCCCATCCTATCACCGCCATCTGAAGGTCACAAATCAGGAAAATAAAACCCCTCTTAGAGCAGCTCAGTCCAATTTAATGGAATCAGATTTTTCTAAAACCTCACTGGTTTATAACTCTCCAGCAGGACTTTTAGGTCCTCCTCTATCCCAGATTAAAAGAAAAATTGGGGATTCCAAATAAACTGGCATTTAGGATTCACTCAGGTAAATGCTCCTTTAGATTTGCCCCAAAACAAGGGGGAGTCTTGATGGGAATTCAATATAATTGTAAGGTAAAGGTAAGGGGTTTCCCCTGACACTAAGTTCAGTGGTGTCCGACTGGGGGGGGGGGGTCGTCTCAATTTCCAAGCCGAAGAGCCGGCGCTGTCCGTAGACACCTCCAAAGTCATGTGGCCGGCATGACACGGAGGCAAATGCACCCAGGAATGCGTTGTAGAATGGCTGCACTATTCAATATCTTCCCTACTATTTCATCACACTAGAAAATGAATCCACTTTAAATTCGCTTTCTGCCTCCTGCAGAATTCTGGGGCTTGTAGTTTAGTGAGACTGTTAAAGGCTCCTCCCTAAACTACAAACCCCCAGAATTCTGCAGGAGGCAGCAATGTGCTTGGATTTGGGATCAGCGCTCCAGATACATCTGATCAAAGCAGAATAGAGGCGTGCCTTGGGCTGCATCTAGCATTAATGCAGCTTGAGGCCATTTGTACTGCCATTGCTCCTTGCTATGGAATTCGGGATTTATAGTTTGGTATAGTTTGTGGGATCTTCAGCCTGCTCTTTGACAGAGAAGGCTGAAGAACTTGTCAAACTACAACTCCCAGGATTCCATAGCAGAGAGCCATGGCAATGTAGACGCACCCCAGTATCGAAAGCTCCATACACCCCAAAGAGCCATTGAGATGAATCACTAGAGTTAGGAGGAGACCACGGTTATGATGCTCAAGAGGTACGGGTCTTTACTTCTATCTATTTTAACTAGCCTTGAGGAGAGGAGGTTTGCAAATGCAATTGTTGTTGTGGTTTGATACACAACAAGATTGGCACATAGCATACAAGATCACTATGCTGGTTTTTGTATCGGATAACACGTGGGACACTTCCCAAATGTCTAGGACTGTGTGATGCATCCCCGAATAATTCGTGCAGATCCAAGTAGGATGGCCTTTTGCTGCTGACAGATGGGAATTGTGTCAGCCCCGATTGTTTTCAAGTGCAGGCCAAGGTCTTTAGGCACCGCACCCAGTATGCCGATCACCCCTGAGACCACCTTGAGTGGCTTGTGCCAGAGTTTTTACCGGTTGTGCACAAGGGAAATGATAGATAATAAAAGATAGATAAATAATAGATGAGAGATGATAGTAGATAGGTGCCATTTCTCAGGTCTATGGTCCCTTCCACACAGCCCTATATCCCAAAATATTAAGGCAGAAAATCCCACAATATCTATTTTGAACTGGGGGCCCTTCCACACAGTCCTATATCTCAGAATATCAAAGCAGAAAATCCCACATTATCTGAGTGTGGGCTCAGATAACCCAGTCCAAAGTAGATATTGTGGGATTTCCTGCCTTGATATTCTGGGATATAGGGCTGTGTGGAAGGGCCCTTAGTTATATGAGGCCACACTCAGATACTGTGGGATTTCCTGCCTTGATATCCTGGGATATAGGGCTGTGTAGAAGGGCCCTATGTCGCCCCCATCCTCTCCACGCCACTGAATTGATTCTGCACTGCAAAATACACACACACATATATATACACCTCCTCTACCACAGACACAGATTCCCCACAACCACAAAAAAATACCCCGGAAAGAGTGCCTTACCCCACCCGCTTGGCCATCAGGGAATGCAGATACTTCCTCGCCGACAGCTGGCCCAGCACTTTCCGGTAGGCTTTATTAAATATCCCATCCGCGTGTCTGAGGGAAGAAACGGAGGGCGGGGAGAGAGAGGCGGCGGGGAGGGGGAGAGAGAGAGATAAAGGTACAGCAAGGGGCAACAAGCAGGGGAGGCCCGGTGGGCAGGAAGCTTGGCGGGGAGGAGAAGCCCTCAGAGGAAAGCGGGTGGGGGGCGAAGAGAAAGGGATCGGCCTTGGGCAGCGACGCCGCCTATCGCCCCCCCCCCCCCCCCCCCCCCGCCTCCACTGCAGATGGGCCTGGCCCCTCCTGCCACCAGCGCCCACCCCCCAGTTTTCCCAGCGCATGCAGGTGGCGGAGCAACACGGCCCCATTCCAAGAGGGCGGAAGAGGAGAAAGAGGTAAGACTGGTTTCGCCTCTCCTTTCACCACCACCCCGAGAGGAGAGGTCTTTGGAGTGGATTGGGAGGGGTCTTCCTCCTTCACTCCTTCCACTCCTCCTCCTCCTCTTCCTCCATCCCTTTCTCCTCCTTCACTCATCCTCTCCTCCTCCTCTTCCTCCATCCCTTTCACCTCCTTCACTTCTTCCTCTCCTCCTCTTCCTCCATCCCTTTCTCCTCCTTCACTCATCCTCTCCTCCTCCTCCTTCCTCCATCCCTTTCACCTCCTTCACTTCTTCCTCTCCTCCTCTTCCTCCATCCCTTTCTCCTCCTTCACTCATCCCCTCCTCCTGCTCCTGCTCCTTCTCCATCCCCTTCTCCTCCTCCCTTTCTCTTCCTCCACTCCTTCCCCTCTCCCTCTTCCATCCTCTTCTCCTTTGGAGACAAAGCCGGCCCGGCACTCCTCGTCTCCCTCGGGGCCCAGTCTCAAAGGCCAGCCAAACCCAAGGGAAGGGGCTACCTGGCTCGGCCCTGCTAGGCTTCCCTCCTTTCGATTTGCCCTCCCCCTCGGGCCTTACCTCTTCTCCGGCGGGTAATACAAGGTGTAGACGTCGTCCAGCATGGAGGCCGGGTCAGCTATGCCGATGGGCTCGCTCTCGAAGGCATAGTCGGACAGAGGGTTGCCCTCCTCGTCGTACACCTCATCTTCCAACCTACTGGGAAAGAAGCAGTTTCCTCGGTTTCTCGGGGGTCGGTGGAGTGGGGAGAGGCCTGACATGTGGGGAGGGGTCGGGGGCTCTTAGAGGGGGCGAGGAAGGGGGAAAGAAAGGGTCTCCTTTCCTAACCTCGCACGATACGACCTGTGCAGGCCCGTAGCCAGGATTTTGATTCGGGGGGGGGGGGCTGAGATGTGGGGGGGGGCTGAGTCTGAGTGAAAGAGGGTCTACCCTAGCAAACCTTTTGTATTGTTACCCCAATACCCCCATGCATATGGGATATATTGAGCATGGTGATCAGATCATGATATGAATAAACATAACAGTTTAAATAATGTACCAGTAAGGCCTTTTCGCGGACCATATGTATGTATGTATGTATGTATACCTACCTCCTCTCTCTCTCTGAATATAAATATATAATCTATCTCCCAGCATGTGTGTGTGTGTGGGTGTGGTGGGAGATATATTAGATATATATAGAGAGAGAGAGCGAAGGTGGGATAGTGGGGAGATATATATATATATATATATATATATATATATATATATATACACACACACACATACATACATCGTAGGATATAAATTAGATATATATATATAGAGAGAGAGAGAGAGAAGGTGGGATAGTGGGGACAAACAGATAGATAGATAGATAGATAGATAGATAGATAGATAGATAGATAGATAGATGATAGATAGATAGATAGATAGATAGATAGATAGATGATATAGATAGATAGATAGAGATAGATAGATAGATAGATAGATAGATAGATAGATAGATAGATAGATAGATAGATAGATGATAGATAGATAGATAGAGATAGAGATATATATGACACTGGCTCCCCTACCCCACCTTCTTCTCTGAAAAGACTCAAAACATCCCTTAAAACAGTACGAATTACCATTTTAAACCCAAAACCAATAAACTTTAAAATAGAAATAAACACAGAATAGTTAAAACAAATAATTACAACCACCTAACACCATAAAAATGTTAACAAAAATTTAAACTCTGCACAGCACCCCCTGGCTCCCTCTATAAAAACTTTCTTCTGTCAAAGCCTGCCTGAATAGAAAGGTTTTCACCTGCCTCTGAAAGGACAGGAAGGGCGTCCCAAAATCAAGGGGATCGATCTACCAGGAAGAACCTCTCTCCAAGTCCCCACTCACCTTGTTTGCCATGGCCAGCCCCCCGGGTGGCCTTTTCTCCCAGGGTTATGGTGGAGTGACCTCCCCTGAGGATCTTAGGGCTCTTTGCCAAATATACTGGACTTGAGCCATGTAGAGCTTTATAGACCATTAACCAGCACTTTGGATTGTGCCCAGAAACATTCTGATGTCCAGGGGAGTTTTTGTAACATGTTAAGGGCTCAGCTCTTTGCACCAGAAGAGATTTCTTCAAAGGCAGCCCCTGAATCACCTTCATGGCCAGTCATTCTCAGACTCCTCTTTTACCCTTTCCTCTATCCATTCAATGGTCTGAATCAGTGCCAGAAAGAACCCCAAGAACAGACCCAAAAACCAAGGCAACAAAGCATTGTTTTGGTTGGGCTGTATATAGGACAATCCTTTTTCAAAGTCAGCTGATAGGCAGTAGACTTTGCTCTAGAGCAGTGGTTCTCAACCTGTGGGTCCCCAGATGTTTTGGCCTTCAACTCTCAGAAATCCTAACAGCTGGTAAACTGGCTGGGATTTCTGGGAGTTGTAGGATGGATTCTGGTGGATTCTGGGACTTCAGAGGAAACCTTCAGGGTGAGGCCGTTCTCTGGAAGGCCATTAGATACCCACCATCTTCTGGGCAGGACAAAGCTAGCATTATTATGTAATAAAGAATCATTAGGAGGGGCGATAGCTTCCTCTTTTTTTCTGAAACTCTCAAAGCCTTGGAAATGTACTTAGGTGGATTTAAACTCTTGCTGGGTGGTGGATTCTGGAAGTTGCAATCAGAAAGCACCGCTTTCCTTTTCCTCCCCAAACTCAGCCCTCCTTACATTCCTTTCCCACTTCACCTTCTAGTTTAGTAGCCACCTGATCCCAATAGTTCCGATTTTTTTGTCATGTCAGGAACGACTTGAGAAACTGAAAGTCGCTTCTGGTGTGAGAGAATTGGCCGTCTGCAAGGAGACGCCCGGATGTTTTGATATTTTCCCATCCTTGTGGGATGCTTCTCTCATGTCCCCGCATGGGGAGCTGGGGCTGACAAAGGGAGCTCACCCGCATTCTTCAGTCCTGCCAGCATAGGGGTTTAAGCCACTGCGCCATCGGGGGCGTCCTAGTTTTGACAGGGATGCAAGAATGAGCCCATGAGCTCACGCTTTTCTATTCTCTAAAGACGCCCAGGGCTGTGGGATGCCCTCACTTCCTTTCGCCTCTCACATGCAGCCCTACACGTGTCTCCCGGGCTGCCTTTCCTTTCCCCGCGTCGCCTTCCCCGGCTCCCCTCCTCCGCCTCAGCCCCGATTTAGGTCACTGTATCCGGCAGCTATTTTGGGCGGCGGAGCTTCTGGCAGCAGCCATCAATAATAGATAGATGGCTCCTCAAGTGTTCCGCCGCCGCCGCCGCCGCTAATTCGGGCGTTTAGAGGATGCCGCCGCCAAGAGTTGGACCCGTTCCCGGGCAAAAATAAGGCAAGCCCTCCCCCCTCCAAAAGGCCACTCCACCCCACCGCCTAAGGGCAAAAGATGGTGCAAGGAGAGTAGGCGAAACTAGGGTTGTTCCAAAGCAGAGGCTGGTTCTCTTCAGGACAACAACCTCGGAGTTTGAGCAAGAGGCTTCCCCTGCTGGCAAGGAGAATGCGGGAGAGAGGAACGCAAAGGGGCGCCAGTTTTATCTCCCGCATTCCCATTGACAATTGGGGGCGATGGGGGGGGGGCAGGGAAGCCTCGTTCTTCCCCAGGATTGGTAGAGCACCGCCAACCCCGCCCCCACGCCGCCACCTCATTGGTCGGGTCGAGAATCCAATGGGGGGGGGCGATTCCTTGGGTTGTTGAATCGCTCTTAACGAAGGACACAGAGGGGGCAAGAGAAATGGGCCTCTTCCTCCTCATTATCTTCCTCTTTCTCTTCGTTACTACTTTCTCTCTTCTTTTCCTCTTACTCTTCTTCCTTTTCCTCCTCCCTTCCTCCTCTCCTTCTCTTCCTCCTCTTTCTTCCCTTGCTCCTCCTCTTCCTTTTCCACCATCATCACCATCAACATCCTCATCCTCTTCTTCCTCCTCCTTCCCCTCCTCCTCCTCTTCCTTTTCCACCACCATCACCATCAATCCTCCTCCCTCCTCCTCCTCCTCCTCCTCCTCCTCCTCCTCCTTCTTCCTCCTCCTTCCCTCCTTCCTCCTTCTTCCCTCTTTCCTTCTCCTCCTTCTCTTCCTCCCCTCCTCTTTTCCTCTCCATACTCTTCCTCCTCCTTCTCTTCCACCATCATCATCCTCTGCTTCCTCTTCCTCCGCCTTCTCCTTTTTTCCACCATCATCACCATCATCATCGTCTTCTTCCTCCCCTTCTCTTCTTTCTTTTCCATCACCAAAAACCCTCATCATCCTCTTCCTCTTCCTTCTCTTCCTTCTCCTCTTCCTCCTCCACTTCCACCATCATCATCAACACCCTCATACCAGGAGGCTAGCGATATTCACCTTTTCCTCCACCAAAAAACAAGTATGGACCCTTTCAAGCTCTCTCACCACAAGTACTGCTTTCTGGGCTATTATTTTGACTGGTTCAAAACACACACACACACTGCTGACTCGCAATTCAAGACTCAGGGAACATTTCCTCTGTAGAATGAATGCAGCTTAACTGCTATGGCTCCGTGCTATGGAAACTTGGGGATTGTATTTTAGGGCCCTTCCACACAGCCATATAACCCAGAATATCAAGGCAGAGAATCCCACAATATTTGCAAATCCCGCAATATCCGCTCTGAACTGGATTACCTGAGTCCGCACTGCCATATATTTCAGTTCAAAGCAGATAATGTGGGATTTTATTCAGATAAATGGAAGGGGTCTGAGTGAGGCACCATTACTCTTTGGCAGAAACTGATAAAGACCTTGTAAACCCTCAAGAGTCCATAACAGTGAGCACTGGAACTTAAAATGCTATCAAACTGCATTCATTCTATAGACAAGAGTGACTCTAGATTCACCCTCAGTCTAGGCTTTGAACAACTCTCCAGATTGTTTTGAACTGCAATTCCCAGCATTCCTCACCATTGCCCCTGCTGGCTGGAAATGCCGGAAACTGTAGTTTTCAGCAACATCTAGCGATTCACATAATAATGCTCGTCCCTGACTTAGGTTTAAACCAGGATTATTTCCCTCGAGCTGTTAGAAAAGTTCAATCATCACTACAGAGAGTGCTCCAAGATGAGGAGGCTCCACTAAACTGTTATGTCTGATATCAATGTGTTATTATCTCTGGTCTGAGACAAAACAGCATTAAGTTTGTAGTATTGTCGAAGGCTTTCATGGCCGGAATCACTGAGTCGCTGCGAGTTTTTCCGGGCTGTATGGTTATCTTCCAGAAGCATTCTCTCCTGACGTTTCGCCTGCATCTATGGCAAGTATCCTCTGGGGCTGTGAAGTCTGTTGGAAACTAGGAAAATGAGGTTTATACACATGGGGACATTCCAGAGATATAGAAATTCAATTTTCCTAGTTTCCAGTAGACCTCACAATCTCTGAGGATGCCTGCCATAGATGCAAGAGAAACGTCAGGAGAGAATGCTTCTGGAACATGCCTGGAAAACAGCAACCTCCTTCTTTTAAAGCCCTCGCCTTCAAAATCATAGAAATTTGGGTCTATCAACTTTCATTAAAAAGTTTAGATTAAAGGGGATTTGTTTGTGATATTGAAACGCTTCCAGACCCCAGCCTCCAATCAATGTCTCCCTTTACTGTATTGTCGAAGGCTTTCATGGCCGGAATGACTGGGTTGTTATAGGTTTTTCGGGCTGTATGGCTATGTTCTGGAAGCATTCTCTCCTGACGTTTCGCCTGCATCTATGGCAATCATCTTCAGAGGTTGTGAACTCTCCCTTTACTGTTTTTAGGAGGTGAATGCTTCTCCTATTTTGGAACCTCCAGATGTTTTGGACTTCAGCTCCCTTGTCGACTTCTGGGATCAAAAGTCTGAAGTATCTGGAGAAAACAAAGATTGAGAAGCACGGGTCTTTCTCCTGCCTATTGGGTGCTAAACTTCTGGCAATAAAAGGAACTAAAACGTTCCTAACTAGCACTGCAATCCGAGTTTTCTACCCATTTGTCTGCTTCTCTTTGCATCACCAACACAGTGCCTTGGGAAGGAGCCAAGGGTTTTTTTTTCCCCCAGTAGGATTCAGTGCCCAATATAGCGACAACCCTTTCAGATTTGGCTCTGAGAAAGCGGTTTCAGGGAATGCAGCTGGAGCCTCCTAAAAGTTTCTATTTCAATGGGATTTGGTTTAATTGGTGTCAAAGCGTTTGGGACTAAATTCCCTTGACATCACTTTAACTGGCAGGACCCTGGAAGCTGTAGTTTAGTGAGGAACCGGTCCTCTTTGGCAGAGAAAGCAACAGACTTTGTGAAATGACTACGATCCCATAACATTGAACCATGGCAGATAAAGTGGTATGTATCCGATTGCATTAATTCGACCTCGCAGATGTTCCTGGGTTCTGCAATTGGAGGTACAGCCTGAGAAAGGACCCACTGGATTCGTCTTCTCCGAAAGATCAGGGAGAATGATAATTAAAAACTCCCACCAAACAAGCATTTTCCTCGTTTCCAACAGACCTCACAACCTCTGAGGATGCCTGCCATAGATGCAGGCGAAACGTCAGGAGAGAATGCTTCTGGAACATGGCCACACAGTCCGGAACACTCACAACAACCCAAGCTTGAGTAACCTCGCCAGGAACTCTCAAGACCAAAACGAACAAAGCAGATCAACCAATCGAATCCCAGCGAACTCATTCCGGATGACTTCGGGTTGGACCACAATTTATTCCCACCCTGTTCCCTTGACTTGAAAACCACTGTCACCTCGTTTAGTCGAAATGAAGGGAAGTTTAGGAAACATGAATGGATAGATCCCCCCCCCCCATCTACTGAGGAAGGATCTACACAGTTGAATGAATACAGTTTGACACCGCTTTAACTACCATGGCTGTGTGCTTTGGATTCCTGGGGGCTGTATCTTCTTTACAAGGTTTTTAGACTTTTCTACCCAAGAGTGCTGGTGCCCCACTAAACTACAAATCCCAGGATTCCATAGCATTGAGTTAAAACATTCAAAGTGGGATCAAGCTGCCTTAAATTTAGATGCACCCTTAGACGAGAACGATCTTACTGGAATTCGCTGCTACCTACAATGTCCTAAGTGCATCCGATCCTTTGGAAGCTAAGCCGTGTAGGCCATGGTTGGTGCTTGGATGGGAGTCCGCCAACGAATACTAGATTTCAGAGGAAAGAACTGGCAAAATCTCTTGTTTGAGAAAATTCTCTGAAATCCTTAGGGTCGACAGGAGACTTGAAGGCACACACAGGCACCCAGTTTCCTACCTGCAATCCACACGGTTAGGAGTATACTAGAAATCTCGACGTTTTTAGCTACCACCAAATTCTGGCTACAGATCTGTCCTTGCCAACGCTACGCCGATTCGAAATCCGAAATACTTGTGTAGCTAGAGCAGGGCATGGGTGGCTGAGGGGGAAAAGGAAGGAGCCTGAGGCTGTTCGGAATTGTGGGAGTTGAAGTCCAAAACACCCGGAGGGCCAAAGTTTGCCCTAGAAGCTTGACTTAGAACTAAGCTTCACCGAACACATTAGGAGAGAGAAATACATATGCCTACAAGTGATTGGCAGCAAATCCCTGCCAAACACATGAAGAAAAGAATGGCTGGGACGACTGGGGCAATATCCACAACAGCCTGCATAGATTTAATAACACTTGGCCCCGCCTACAAACAAGCCTCTCCTCAGAGGCATTACCTCACGCCTTAAACTCATTCTTCGGAAGTATGTGTGTGTGTGTGTGTGTATGTATATATGTATATATGTGTGTGTGTGTGTGTGTGTGTGTATATATATATATATATATATATATATATATGAGAGAGAGAGAGAGATAAAGATAGAGATCTATATATCTATATATCTCTATCTATCTATCTATATCTATATCTATATCTATATCTATATCTATATCTATATCTATATCTATATCTATATCTATATATATATATATATATATATATATGAATGAGCCGAGCCTACAAAGTCAACAATTAGGGGGACATTGCGGCGGATCCGTCCTTCAGGCTTATTTATGACGTGAGACTGAGATTGGGAGGATGCCAAGCGAATGGGGGGAGTCCCTCGATTGGAATGGCAGCCTGGGAGGGAAGTCAAAGCGCATCAGTGTCGCGTTTGGAAGGGTCTGGCGGCTTCCTACGGGCGATGAATTCAGTCAATGGGGCGGAAGGAGGGGGCGCCTTGGCTCCTCATTCACCCGCCTATCATAATACACATTGCCTTGCCCGTCGATCCCACCGCTGTGGCTAAAGGGAAGCAGTTCCTTCTTATTCCTACACAACCTGGTCTTTCATACAAAGGCGTATCTTTTGCCCAAAGTCGTAATTTTTTTTGCCCAGAGCGTAATAATAAACAAAGCACTAAGGCGTTATCGGGAGCCCCTGTTGTTCAAGGTGAAGGAAAGAGGGCTGGATTTTTTCCCATCTAGAGGGAGGTTTCCCCAAGGGWAAGGCAAGAAGTCCTGGCAGTCAAGGCTGAAGTGGGATGGGGGTTGTTTTGGGGGGAAGGGAAGTCTTACCTCAAGGTGGGGAACTGAAGTCCGGCAGTAGGGGAGCAGTAGACGCTGCAGTGCATGAGTATCCCATAAACCAGGAGGGCTAGGAGCGCTTTCCTGCACATCGCCACTCTGCAGAGGAAGGAAAGGAGATCTGGGATCCTTGGGGGCACCTTGCTCCTTCTCCTCCTCCACCACCTCCTCCGAAGTCTGCCCGCTTAAGGAAGGCTCTCTCGTCACTTGTCCCGCAATGGGAGGCGGGAGGGGAGGGAGGGGGCGCCTCCTTGGGGATCTTTCCCGTCCAGGCAGGGTCTCCCCTTCCTTCTTTCCCTCCCTCCGTCCCTCAAAACCCGCCCCTATCTTCCCCCTCCATCCTTCCCAGATGTGTCGGAARACAACTCTATTAGCATTGGAGAGTCCTATGGACTGGAACTATAGGAGTTGTAGTCCACAGGGCTCTCATGCTAGTAGAGTTGGGTCCGACCCAAACGTTCCTTCTTACCATTCAACTCTGAAGAGCCACCACAAGCTTGGATCGGGGGAGGAAGGAGCCTTTCTCTCTCTCTCTCTCTCTTCTTGGAAGTTTCGATCAGTTGTTAATCCTCCTGAAGCATCGCCTCAATCTCTCTCTCTCTCTCTTTTCCACTCTCTCTCTCTTTCCTGATCTCTGTCTTCCTCCCTTTGATGGAAGCTGCAGGGAGGGGGCGTGCGATAGGCTTGGAAGGTGGCTAACCAGGGGGAGGGAGGGAAGGGGAGCAGCTCTATTCTTTCAAAACAAAAGTTTGGAGGTCTATCGCGGAGTCTCTTGTCAGGTAGGGAAGGCTCCAGGGGAGAAAGTGGGAGGCGGAGAGGGAAAAAGAAAGAGAGGAGAGGACGCGGGGAAACCCTGGCAGAAGGCGAGAGCGGAAAGGGAGCTGGCTGCAGTTCCAGCGGATGCTGCACAGCCCTTCCTTCCTTCCTTCCTTTCTTCCTTCCTTCCCCGAGCCGCTCCTGGCTCCCACTCCGTCTTCCCTCTTCTCTTCCTCCTTCACCCTTTCCTCTTTCTCTCCTCCGTCTGTCTTGACGATCTCCTCCTAACCTCCTTGCCTGAGCTGCAAGGTCTGGAGCCCCTTCTCCGTTCTCTGCTCTCCAATTCTGTTGCCAACAGGGGCCAATCTCTCTGCCTCTCAGTCTCTGGCTGGCTCTCTGTTCCTCTCTCTCTCTCTCTCTGTCTCTGCCTTGTTGCCTCGCCGGGTGCCGGTCTTGTTTGGCTTCTCTGCCGGGGTGGCGTTCGGATTTTTATTTGCCCGTGACTTTTTTTATTGTTGTTGTTGCAGTCACGTAATAATCGCTATCAGAAAAGACGTCACCGCCTCAATTCCTCAAGGAACAGAACAAATCCAAGTCCGAGATGATGCGAGCAGGAGTCATGAGCTTCCTTCCCATCAGCGCCTCAGCCTGCCCTCCCCCCCCCCTCCCCACCCAAAGTTTCCGCGCGGTGCCTCATCCTCAAGTGCCACCTTTTTTCGCTGAGATGGATCATGAGGCCGGATGACGCTGGTGGGGGGAAAAAAGTCTGCTTTGCTTCCACTGGTCCTGAAAGAAACACTTTTTTCTTCTTCTTGGAAACAGATATCATTGATTTCACAGGAACTTCCTTGAGAGTCCAATTCCGTAATCCAATCCATGCAGGTAAACGGCTTTGGTTTGTTGGTGCAAAAGAAGTCCTGCAGGAGAAGCTCCAAGGCATCTCTTTACTTCTCCAGTTGGCGCAATTCAAGCCCTTAGTCGCAAAGGCCTTGCTGTTATCATTTAGCATTAGCTGCTTCTCCTCCCCAGACCCCCCAGACCCCCCTCCCAGCCCCAAAGGCCGCGTTCTCAGTCATTTTCCCATTAGAGATGGCAATGGACAGGATTGCTCCCCCGGCGAGCCTTGAAGAGTGGCTTCTTTCTTTCTTTCTCTCTCGGCGGAGCTGTCCAGACACCGTGGTGCTGAATGGGCTTTGGCAGCCGCACAGGCCACTTGGAAGGAAGAGCTTCGCCTCGCTGAGAGGCTCCCTATTAACAACAGGGCTCGCCGTTTAGATCTCACCCTTTCTTGTCGCAACAGCATGCTTATTTCCCTCGCTTGAAAGGGTTAGGAAGACATCTCTCTCTTTCACCCCATCCCCGCCTCTGCCTAGAATACGTGAACAGATTGCATCCTCTCTTGTCGAAGGCTTTCATGGCCCGGAATCACTGGGTTGCTGTGAGTTTTCCGGGCCATGTTCCAAAAGCATTCTTTCCTGACGTTTCGCCTGCATCTATACCAGGCATCCTCAAAAGTTGTGAGGTCTGTTGGAAACTAGGAAAAAAATGAGTTTATATATTTGTGGAATGTCCATATTGGGAGAAAGAACTCTTGTCTATTTGAAGTAGGAGTGAATGTTTCAATTGGCCACCTTGATTAGCATTTAATGGCCTAGGCGCTTCAAGGTCTGGCTTCTTACTGCCTGGGGGTATCTATTGTTGGGAGGTTATTAACTATCCATGATTGTTTCTTGTCTGGAATTCCCCTGTTCTTGGGTGTTCTTGAGATGTTAGCAGGTGGACATTTTCAACAGAAAGGAGGAAACCATGAAAATGAACAAAATCTGGCTACCAATATTTTTTTTTAAAAAAAAAAACCTCTAAAATCAGGACAGTAAATAAAGAACAACACTCAAAAATCAGGGGATTCCAGACAAGAAACAATCAGGGCCAGCTAATAACCTCCCAACAAAGGATTCCCCCAGGCAGTAAGAAGCCAGACCTTGAGCTGCAAGGCCATTCAAATGCTAATCAAGGTGATTAATTGCAAAATTCACACTTGCCTACAACAGACAACAAAAAGAACAAGAGTTCTTTCTCCCACCCTGGACTTTCCTCAGATATATAAACCTCCCTTGCTTAGTTTCCAATAGACCTCACAACCTCTGAGGATGCCTGCCATAGATGCAGGAGAAACGTCAGGAGAGAATGCTTCATGCAGCCCTGAAAACTCACAACAACCCAGATTGCATCCCTTTTTTTCATTTCTCCCCTTCCGAATAAATGGAACCATAGTTTCAATGTCGAACAGCACCTTAGGTCTCAAACAGTCATGCCCCCAGAACGAAACACAATGATTAGACAAAAGAGAAAATGAAGCAGAAATTTATTTTTCTTTCTATTCTGGAGGACGCACAAAGGAAGACTCAGATTGGAAGAGGGGCGAGGAATCTCCCCTAAATTTCGCAGGCAGGGGGATGTTTCAGAGCATCTCTCTTCTGGAAATAACGCAACCGAGGAGCATTTGCCCCCCCCCCCCCCAAAAAAAAAAAAGAAGAAGAGGCAGCCCAGGAAAGATGACGGACTGGTCTTCTTCTCAGCTTAATTTGTTAGTTCCTTGCTTCCTTCTCCGAGTGAGAAATCCGGATTCATTGAGGGGAAATGGTCTCAGGAAAAGCAAAGCCGTTCCTGGTGCATTTTAATTGTGAAACCGATGAACCAAAGGAGCAGGAAGGAGCAGAAGGACAACGCTATCATTTCCTAATTCAGTTATTGGGCTTCAGCAAGAGCCCAGCGGCCATCTGAGCTCTTCTAATAGAAAAGCGTTTCTATTGTCCATATGCAGCTACAAGTTGTATACACCTGGAAAATGTGTACCTGATTCTAGGAAATGGATTAGTAAATTTCACTGCTTTTCCCACTGGAAGAAACACAGTCAGCTTAATTGTATCCAGACTTTTTTCAGTTTGTTTAAGTCAGGCATGAGCAAACTTCGGCCCTAACAGTAGGCTGTTAGGAATTGTGGGAGTTGAAGTCCAAAACACCTGGAGGGTCGAAGTTTGCCCATTCCTAGTTTAAGTAAAAAAAATTACTTTTTTTTAAACATGTCGCCAGAAAAATCAAATATCTTCAGCCAAGTTTTCTAACTTCCAACAGACCTCACAACCTCTGGGGATGCCTGCCATAGATGCACGCGAAACGTCAGGAGAGAATGCTTCTGGAACATGGCCATAACAGCCCTGAAAGTTCACAGCTCAGTGATTCCGGCCATGAAAGCCTTCGACAATCCATCTTCAGCCAAGTTTTTCTGGTTTTTCTGATAGTCAGTACTCCCCATAGGTGGTCACTTTTCCTATATGTGCCTTTAAGTTTCCTTTGCGTAGAGCGTCTCAAACATAAAAAAGTTTTCCTTTCTTCCCAAAGAAAGTTAATGTATGGATTTTCAGAATCACTGTCATGGAACCGTTTTGAGAGCCTCGCCTCTGGAAAACCTGTTGCAAGCAGCGCCCGCCACCTTGTGGGAAGGGAAAAACGTGCATGGCTGAATATTGAGAAAACTCTTGTTCAGTTCTCTCTTGTTTATATGGGCTTTTACGTTAATAATCCCTAAGTAAAAACTTTTATCTTTTATGACATCTGGCCACTGTGGTGTATTCGGCGATTGGGGGGGGGGGGGCTTGTATAGGTCGCCCCTATATTACTGCTTTATCACTGTATTTATTTTTAAAGACTGAACTAGTCTGAGCGAAGGAAGATATTTATTTATTTACTATATTTGTATACTGCCTTTAGATAGACACCTTTGAACTGTGGTGCTGGAGGAAAATTCTGAGAGTGCCTTGGACCGCAAGAAGATCCAACCAGTCTATACTCCAGGAAATAATGCCCAGATGCTCACTGGAGGGAAGCATATTAGAGGCAAGGGTGAAGTCCTTCAGCCACGTAATGAGAAGACAGGCTACCTTGGAGAAGAGAATGATGTTGGGAAAAATTGAAGGAAAAAGGAAGAGAGGCCGACCAAGGGCAAGATAGACGGATGTTATCCTTGAAGTGACTGGCTTGACCTTGAAGGAGCTGGGGGTGGCCACGGCCAACAGGGAGTTCTGGCGTGGCTGGTCCAGAAGGTCACAAAGAGTCAGAAGAAATTGTACGAATAAACAACAAACAACACTGAATTAGTCTTTGACATCTCCCAACAAAGGATTCCTCCAGGCAGGAAGCAGTCAAGCTTTGAAGCTGCAAGGCCATTCAATGGTAATCAAGCTGGCCAATCCAATATTGACACCTACCTCAAACAGACAAGAGTTCTTTCCCCCATCCTGGACATTCCACAGATATAATAACCTCTCTTGCCTAGTTTCCAATAGACCTCACATCCTTTGAAGATGCCTGTCATAGATGTGGGTGAAACATCAGGAGAAAATGCTTCTGGGCCATGGCCATACGGCCCGGAAAACTCACAGTGACCCAGTGATTCTGGCCATGAAAGCTTTCAACAACACATAGTTTTTGACAGTACCAAAGAATTTTCTGATCCCAGCATCTGCATCCTTACCTGGATGCATGAAAATAAATATGCCAAGTTTCAGTTCAAAGGTGTTTAGATTCAAGGGGTAAGTTCTCATTTCCTACAGAGTCAATTTTCAGTGATTCCCCATATTTCTTCACAAGGAGTACTACTCAAGTAAGAAAAAGGGAAGCTTCTTTGGAAAAGGTAAGGCTGTTATTTTAAAGTGTTTCTTTTTCTCAGCCCAGCAGTGTTAAGTATAGAATTCTCCAGGCACATAATGTTTAAAGTGCTTGATTGCGGAGAGTCCCAAAGGCACTGTTGAATTTCCATCATACGGAAATGGCTTAAAATCCCCTTCCTCTTGCTACCTGAAAGTTCTTTTGAATCTCAATTTTGAATCTAGATGGAGTAGCTCACTGATGTCTGTTTTCTTTGCATCGTTCCCATCTCTATGTGATTCACTAT